GAGTCCGGGGTTGGCGACAACCCACTTGGGTTTCCATGATGATGAGAAAACGCATAGGTCAACACCAGAAGAAGCTCGAACGATATAATTTATTGGAATCTTATCTTGAAATGGTCAGGGCAGAAGCGCTCATGATGAAGCAATTAGATCAGAAATTAGCCGAGGACGAAAGAGGGTTTGGTATGTCATATTACTTTTAAAGGGGGCAAAATGGTTCGTGCCCATCAACTAACGAGCGTTCTTATTGTCCATCTTTAGAAAAGTTAATTATAAAGGAAATGGCTGAAAGTAAAAAATTTCATGACAAAATGTTAAAATTAAGAGCGAAATCGCAATTGGATGAGTTTACGATATAAATAATAATAATAAATTTTAAAATTATCTAAAAGAACAATTAACGTTCACACACACATATATACTGTATATATATATTAATTTCTAGACTGCCATTTAATCCTTTAACTTCAGGAAGTTTTGAATGCTATGATTTAATCCGTCTATTTCCGCTTGATAAGCCTTAAGCTGCGAGGAAATGATATTTAATAGATTAACAACGGCAGTGAATGAAAGGGCGGAAAATATATATATTGATCGTTCAACAATACCTTAGTTTCATTTGTTTCACGGACATCCTTCGGTACTTTGGACTCATAATCTAAAATCGTTACCTTCTTTTGGAGAGAATCCAGCGCTCGAGTCGTTTTGTCGAGCTTACTCTGGAATTTTACTATCTCGGCATCTATATCCACAAATCCCTATCAATGAGTGAATCGTCATTAGACTTGTAGTAACGCCGAATGGTATATCGAAAGGCCAACCACAACTACCTTAACCAAAAGCATTACGTCTATTTCGTCGGTGACGGTGCTCAGAGAACACCCGGCGGGAATAGATTCACCTTTTTGCAGGACGTGCACCGATTTTGCACCCTTTACCAAAGTAATAATATTTTGCTCTTGCGTGGAAAGAAATTTCACAAGTGGTTCCGAAGCTGCCTGAATAAAAACTGCAGGGTGATGGTGGTTAATGTAAATAAGGAAAGGGTGACTAGACATGCATTATGACTTACGTGAGGCGTTAGATTGAATGTTATATTCGACGGTAAGTGACCGTGCAGCTTTGACGATTGAAAATGTCAAGTCGAATTGTTCTTCGGCTTCCGGATTATTATATTCTGGTTCCTATAAAAAATTTTTTTTTCAGGAGAGATTAACCGATCCGTAAGAAAGCTAGGAACAAAATAAAAAAAATTCTTTTTTATATCTGATATGTCGGTAGATGCGAGATACCTCGAGAGGATACTTGGCTTTGGTGATCGTCTGAACATTGTCGTTGGGACGTCGAGGCAAACGTTGATATAATTCTTCGGTCACGAATGGCATGAAAGGATGAAGTAACTTGAGTCCAGCTTCTAAGCAAGTATACAATGTGTCTTTAGCCGAACTTTTACGTTCGGCATTTCCCGGTATTGCAATGTCAGCGTCAATAATTGGTTTGATGACTTCCTATTATATAAACAATATCTGATAAATCATTCCTCAACGATTATTCAAGAAATAAAGGAAACTATCAAGTTACAATGTAAACATCACAAAGTTCGTATAGCCAGAAACTGTAAACGGATGTGGTGGCATTCATAAAGTTCCTTTCGTGCAAAGCCTTGTTCGTGTTAATCACCGCCTGATTAAGTTTATGCAGTATCCAATTTTCAGGCAACGATTCTTTTCCAGATTTCTAGGGAGAAGACGAGGTCAATTAGGAAAGTATTATGCGTCAGATCACTCGGATTTAAAAAGTTGAACCTACCCTGGAGTTAGGCTTTGGATGAAAATCCTCGCCCAATTTCATCAAAGCAAACCGCGTTGCGTTCCATAGCTTGTTACAGAACTTGCGGTAACCTTCCACACGAAGAATATCAAGATTGAGATCTCGACCTAAAACAAATGTGAGTGGGCATGAGCGCAGCGACGGTTTGAAAACCCAAGAGAGGCGAAGAAAGATCTTATCAACCTGTCGAAGTGTAGGCACATAATGCGAACCTCAACGCATCGGTGCCACATTCCGGGATACCGTTGGGGTAATCAGCCTTTTGACCAGCTTTTGCTTTCTCGATCTCGCGTCTATCGAGGTTTCCCTCGTATAACTTTGCGTGCAACTTTTCCAAGGATATACCTTGAATCACATCGACTGGGTCCACAACATTTCCTAATGATTTGCTCATTTTACGGCCATGTGCGTCGCGAACCATGGCATGACAAAAAACTTCGTTAAACGGTACTTGGCCGGTAAGCTTGATACCCATCATCACCATACGAGCTACCCAAAAGAATAAAATATCCCATCCAGTTTCCAATAGTGATGTTGGATAAAAATTTTTCAAGTCCTCGGTCTGTGAAAAAAAAGGTCACGAGATTTTAATGAACTATTGGAAGTGAATATTGTAGTAATTCCAGCGTACGCCGATTTTTCACCTCTTCCGGCCAACCAAAAATGGAGAACGGCCATAAGCCTGATGAGAACCATGTATCCAATACATCCGGATCTTGTTCCAATTCGAAATTCACGTCCGGGAATTTCTTCTTTGCTTTTTCCATCGCCTCTTCCTTACTACGGCCTGAAACCCAATACGCACCGTCCGAATGCTATGCACGAATCAACTCTAATCAACAAACAGATAACCAATAGGACCTAAACAATCGCGAAACCAATATTACTCACATCCTGATCTCGATTTTCGATTTTGATGAAATAAGCTGGGACTTGATGCCCCCACCAGAGTTGACGAGAAATACACCAATCTTGAATGTTTCCCAGCCATCTGAACCAATCTTTCTCGGAAGTTTTTGGCGTTATTCGAAGCTTACCATCGGTGACAGCCTGTCGAGATCCCGCCGCATTTATATGAGCAAACAAGTTTCAGACGATCGAAAGAATGGTGATAGATGATGTACCTTCATCGCATCGGCTGCCATTGTCGAACAGCTAACCCACCATTGCGGTTTCAATACAGGTTCAATAATATCTCCCGACTTGCTGAGAATAATAAAATCATAGGATAATGTGTAAGATTAAAAACAATTCATTTTATCGAGTATATTGATGCTTACGCGCAAGTTGGGATTGTCATGGGATTATCTTGTGTTCCAAAAAATAATCCTTTTTCCTTGAGAGCCTCCACCACTTCTTTACGAACATGAAAACGCTTCTTTCCCTAAAAGGAAATTCCACACTTGAATATTGATAAAGGTATGTTATTATTGCACAAGGTGTGAATGCGTACTTGGAATGGACTTCCATTTTCATTAAGCGTGCCGTCATCATTAAAAATGTTGATGAACTCTAAATTATGCCGTTTTCCGACTTCATAATCGTTAAAATCGTGAGCGGGTGTAATCTTGACCGCTCCAGTACCAAAAGTCATGTCTACTATGACATCGTCCAGAACGATAGGAATTCTTCTTCCATTGAAAGGATGGATTGCGAATTTTCCGTGAAGATGCTAGCAGGACAGGGTTGGGTTTTTCAGATCACATAATCGGATGAAAAGTCACGGCAAAGCGTGTGAAACTCGGGCAAACCTTATATCGCTCATCTAGGGGATGAATTGCTATGCCGGTATCACCCAACATTGTTTCAGGACGAGTCGTGGCGACTATAATTTTCTCATCTAATTCGAGATAATGTTGAATGTTCTGTCACACGATTATGTCCCGCCGAATGTATTGAGAATATGGAATTTAAGGGAATTACCGGAATTTTCGATAGGATATCCAAAAGATGTTAAAACTCCGAATTCAACTTTTTCTTCGGGATCATATCCGGGTACGGATAGAAGTGTACGTCCAGTCAATTCCTTGTTCTCAACCTCCAGGTTCGATAAGGCCGTATTGAGCCTGACACACCAATTTATTAATCGTGTGGCTCTATAAATGGTCCCTTCTTCTTGCAGACGGCAGAAAGTTCCTACAACTGCATTTGATAATTTCTGGTCAGAAACAAAAAACATAATCAGTTCACCTCTCGAATTCACGAGCAACACAGATAAGAATAATCATATACTTCGTCCATGGTAAATACTGATCGACTCCAATCAAAAGAACCACCAAGTCGTTTCATCTGAGTATGAATTCGTTCGCCATATCTTAAGGTATCAAATTGTTAACTTGAATGGAGGAAGGCTAACTTTGCATTCATAATTCACGTACAAATTTTTCCATTTCCACACTTCATCGATGAACTCCTTCCTTCCAATATCGTGACGAGTTTGTTGCTTCTCAACCCACAACTTCTTCTCGACGACGGATTGGGTCGAAATCCCGGCGTGATCTATGCCCGGATTATATAACACCGTTTTTCCCAACATCCGATTCCTGAGGATTAATCAATATTTTATTCATTTAAAAACAAATTTGAACAATTCTTCGCGGTATCTACATACCATCTTACCAACGCATCCTGAATTGCAATAGTTAACCCGTGACCAATGTGAAGGGAACCTGTGACATTTGGCGGGGGAACGGGAACGACAAAGATTCCTTCGGGTTTGATCTTACCATCCGAAGTTAATTCCGGTTCGAAGAAGCCTTGTTTTTCCCACCATGCGTACCAGGAGGACTCGACAGCTTTTGGATTGTATGACGATGCCATTGGCTGAGACATATCTATTCACGTGAGTAAATCCGATTGATCCGATCTCGGTGAGTCTTGGAAAAAGAGCTAAGCTTAGGATTTTGCAATGTTCAATTACCCTTCTTCTCTCCGACAGGAGTATTATCGACAAATTCTACTTCGCCAACTAAAGGTTTTTCTTTCTTACTTTTTTTCTCTTTTTCTTTCTTTTTTTTAAAAAAAATTCGGTCACCTTGATGAATGCAGTCAAAAATGTGGAAATTTTTTTTCATCGAAAACTTCATACCTCAGCGGAGTTTGACTTTGCTTGTTTTGCTGCAAATTTCGCAAGTTTTGCTTGTCTCTTGGCCTCATTTTTGTCGGCATTTTTTGATTTGACGGGGGTCCCTTCACTTGTGGAGGATCCAGGTACCGCGTTTGTTCCGGAAAATGATGTACCGGAATCTATTTCCTTCGTATCCGCCATAATTGATTTAAAAAAATATATATATATATATATTTTTTTTTGATCGAAAATTCCAGCTATGTATAAACAGTATAACTGTATATATACATCTTATTTCGGTGGCGTAGCGATGATGACAATTTATGACCAAGATTTCTATTTTAGGCATAGTAAACGATAAATTAACGTGTCGTGTCAATACGTCAGGCTATTTGCCCAACAACCTGTATTGTTTGATAAGTTTTGAAATTCCTGCTTCCCAATCACCATGAGTCAAGGAAGACGTCCAGTAAGGTAAAAAAAGGCACCCCGACTTTGTTCATTAATCATCACTGATTTCTAGGCTGTTTACATTCGCAGAACATACAATCATAATCTAAACTATCGTGAGAATCGGACGGCATTATTTACCGGTGCTCAAGCTTCAGAGAGTGTCCCTGCCTTAAGATCGACAACGAATCCAACAAAATATTCTCTAGAAGCACCTTTGGATTTGGAAAGTCAGAATGATGAGAAAATTGAAGGCCTGACGGGAAAAGTGAGGCTTTTAAAAGAGGTCGGTGAAACGTGCCAAAACAGATATATACTTGAAATCTATATTCTATTTTAATCCATTTATATTGGTCTTTGAACAATTCATCAGATTACGCTAAGCATTGGAGAGTCGGTGAAGGAATCGAATATGCTTATAAACACGATGGTAATTCAAGTTTCACTTATAAGTTCTCTTTCGTCCATTGCTTTGTGGTGCCTAACCTTGATTCAATTTGAAAGTCGGATGAATACTCACAGACCGGCACTTTCCTTGATGGCACCATGAACCGACTAAAAATATTGTCGACAACTCAGAGTAGTCAGTTCTATTGTTACATGGTTTTTATTTTTTTGATAACATTCATATTTATTTATTTTATTTTTATTCGATGGTGAAGCATAATAGTAACAATAATAATAGATCATTAATATTAATCTGTGAGGAATTACTTTAAGAATTTTTTAATGCGTTGGTTTGTATTTCGGATTCATGAATCATCGAATCCAACACAACACAGACTTCTTAGACGGTTTTACATGAAAGTTTTGACATAATAAAATAATTATACGTGCCCTTGAAGCAAAGTCCTATAGAAATTATTATAATAGAATTTATCAGTTCCCTGTGGTTCAATCAATGGCATTGTACTTCTCCATTTGTTCTCTTTTGCTCCCACGAGGATTTTGGCTCCCCAGCTTTTTAGAATTTTTAAATCTTGAGTGGCTTCTTCCTTGGAATAGGACGTGAACACGCAGGGCAACTCTTTCTCCAACAAAAATTCAATTGTAGGTTTCCAGAGCTCAGTGTCATCCTCATAGAGTCCGGTGTTGAACCCGACAGAAATGTGGGGGATCGTGTAATCCGAAGAGGAACCATATTCATGATATGGCATAGGATAAAATGCACAGATACGCTTTCGATCTGAGTTAGCACAACGTGGGCAACATTGTAATGTCATTCCGGGATTCTTCATTGGTAACTCTAACCCCACGAATATGATTCGAAGTGTTTTTATGTTTGGCAGCACATGCATTATCTCTTCAAAGGTCATGAGAGCCAAAATCTCATACTGACTAGCACCAATAATGTGAATTATTAAATCCTCGAGGGAACGTAATTTGCTGCGTATATAAAACCTTTCCAGCGCTGATAGAATTGTAAGTGGTAACGAAAGATTATTAGTGATCACTCCGCATAATGCATCAAGGTGAATAAATTGAGAATTCTTTCGCCACTTAAAATATCCATTCCAATCCTTTGGCAACGGAGGATAGATAGCGCTTTCGTCCCACTCCTCGGGTGCCCATAAAGTCTCTGAAGTGTCTTGATACCTATCAATGCGAATTGTTATTAAAGATAATGGCGTAGAATCTATATAATCTGAAACGAACCTTATCCTCTCGCAATTAACCATCAGTTGATATGTTTGGCACAAGGATTGATGTTTTGGCCGATATTGTTTCCAATGCTCCGGGGAGCAGCAGAATGCAACTTTGCACTCGGAACACGGAATCAATGGCGAATAATTTTGCAAATCTCGGGAAGTTCGAAAACAGACGTGACATTTAGGTTGGTGTAGCCAAGCATTTCTCTCGTAATTAGTCAGCTCCCTATCAAGCGCCTCGGACAACAATTGCATGTGATATATATTTCGCTTGCTCCATTCCGATTCCTTATCATTGCAAGAATACCAGGCTTCTTCAAGTCGGTGAAGCTCTTCGATCGCCGCGCAAAACTGTTTATGAAAAGAAAAGTCTTTCTTTTGGCATTCTTTTGAGCAATAGACAGACATGCGACAACGAGTACACCTTAAAAGGGAATTAATGCCAACTTCGGCACTAGTTTTACGACAATTTGAACATGCTGTTCCTGCAATTTGTAAGTACGTCTTCCGCTTCTTCAATTCTTCTTCCTTTGATGTCATCTCGAGGATCTCGGTCTAGAAAAAATATGCAGATCCATTGTTCGATAGCATTTGCAAATTTCTGATTGGTCGATAATTCTCATAAATGTCTTGATACTCTAATCAAACTTTCAAATATGCGAGGATTTGCTCACCTAAGTTTTTTTCCTTTTGACATCAAATCTTGGGAAGAAACGTTTGAATATAATCACTCGGAAATAAATCATTCCTTGGAACACCATTCGGATTCACAATACACGCACTATTCGTCACCAAAATATTTCGTTGGACACTTCATAAACCTTACCGATTACAAAAACTATGGTATAAAAGCAACCTTATCGCCAACTCCTCCACCACCGTCACACAACTTTCACAGTTGCTTACTCGAGCATCCGATATATTATGATCTTACAATACAAGACTACACTACAAATCGCCGTTGGACACTGAAGTGGGCCGGTTGGTGGGGCGGAGACGCCGGATGGATGAGTTCAGATCCAAACTGTAGTGCAAATGGCGATAAGATTATGATGGATGAAAGACACGGAGAAAATATAAGTACGGAACAGGAAAAAAAGCTTGAACAATACATTTGGTTTCGTACTAATCGTCTGAAAGCTAATGAGGAAGCCAAAAAACATATCAAAAAGTTTTTTCCGAGATTAGAAATAGATGAAGACGACCTGAACAGTGCACATGTTTGTTTGGGTGAAATGGTAATTGTCGTGGAGAATGAACGAGAAATCGATGAGGATTGTAAAGGATCATGTAATCATGGCGGAGATGACGAATTACGCGAGGAAAGTGAAAAGGAGATTGGAGATGAAGATGAGATAGGTGAAGCTGATAATATAAGTGAAGAAGATCAAGTTGAAGATTTTGCAAGTGGAAGGGAAGACGAGGAATATTATAGTGAAAACGAAGAGATGGCTATTTTTAGTGAAGAAGAATTAGAAAAGATATGCAATAGATTTTCTTAATGGCGTTTCAAGTAATTTGCACATTATAATATATTCATCAATTTGGAAGATTTCTTTTTTTTTCCGAAGTGTTTGCAGGAGAGATACAATTGATATTGATGAATATTGGGAATAGAGTGCACATTGAAATTAAAAATTACAATTCTTTCTCTTTTATAATCGGACCATGTGAGACTCAAAGGAGTCAACCAGGATGGTCACCAAAAGTGCTATCCCCTTTTAAAAGGGACTCCCGTGAATTTTAATTTACAAAGTTTAATTTTTTTTTGTAAATAACCCACAGTCAGGCTATTAATTAATTAAATACAAAAGTACATATTCATTTTAGCAGCATGCATGTGCTACAGTTGAATTTCTAATTTAATTAACTTATTCATTGATATAAAAAGTCTAAGTTTGTTTATAAGAACAATTTGATTATTTGTAGCGAATTTTTGATTTGAATTTTTTAATTTATACAGTATATTGTATTATTGTTAATAGATTGTTATCATCTATTATCCTATCAAGTTATTGAATAACAAAAAATTATACAAGAGAATGGGTTGAAAAAAGAAGAAATATTTAAAATATACGAGTATATTTTAAAAAATTTTTTTCTCAATAAGAGTTATCCTATTAAAATACATATTCTTTCTTTTCTTAACTATAAAAAACTTATTTACTTTTAGTTTTTAGTTTTTTTTTTTTTAAACCCTTTGTCAGGTTAGTTAAGTGTGCTTTATTAAACATTTGTAAGCTATACATATTAAATGAAATGCTAAAGCTAAATCTCTAACTAACTCACTCGTTTTGATTATATTACCTCTCTAAGTGTAACTTTGGAAGTGATTTATCATTTCGTTAGAGGTTCTTATTTACTTTTAGTTTTAATTTCTTTCTAATATATATACTATTTAATATTTATTGTCTTTTTTAGAAATTTTTATATCAAATTTAATATATACTATAATAACAAATTCAATATATATAATAGTTCACAAAAGTTTTGCTTCAAAATGAAAAAAGAAAGAGATAAGGCATGCAAACAATATATTTTCTTGCAGGGACATCAACTCTTATAGAACATCAAACATACTGTATATCTAAATTAGAAAGACAAAATCTTAAAGATGAAAATAAAAGTACAAGATTTAAATCCAGAAGCATAGGAGTTGATCATAAATCAACATCTGACTTATAATTAGATAATGAATTAACAGATTCTATTTCTACTCTATCAAGTTATCATAGCTTCAAAAATCAGTAATGAATTAAATAGAGAAGTAATAATAGAATAGAATAAGGAAAAAACAAAAGAAAAGAATATCCTGCAACAGAAAGCAATAAAAAATCAATTAGAAATCAATGAAGCAATAGGTATGATTTTTTCAAAAATAAGATAAGACTTGAAAAAGAAAACACTTAAAATCCTTTAAAGAGTATTTTAGTTAATTTGGAAAACCTATATATTAAAATAGATACTTTAGAGAAACAAACAGTCATCAGAAGATCAATATTTAATAATAAAGAAGCAAACCACTCTTAAAGATATACCAATTCTTGATAACAATCAAGAGAAGCAAGAGCCTATTGTCTTTTAATCAAAAACTATAAATATGGATAACAAATGAACTCTAACAAGCAATAATAAGATAAAAAAATAAAGAATCTAGATATATCAATATTTTCACAAGAGGAGTGGAAAACTTTTCTAAATAACAATATTAGATATAAATTATTCAAGAAAATCAAAAAAGAAGATGACATAGATAAAAAGGTGATCAGAATCAGTATACATAATATCAGAGGGATTACAAATAAAACAAAACAACAAAATCTGATTGAAGAGATATTAGAACAATAAATAGATATATTGGGATTATGTGAAACAAAACTAATACAAGTCAATATATAATGAATATTCAATATCAGAAAGATTATAAATACTTTTATAGTATCAATAAAGATATATTATTTGAAGCTGAAGTTGATCTTTAATTAATAAAGATTTAGAAAAAAAAATTGCATCAATAGAAAAAGTAGAAGAAAATATTATTGCTATCAATATACTTATAAAAAGAAAGAAGATCTATATTATACAGATTTATATTCCTTTTATCAAACTAAGATATAAAATAGTACAAAATAAGATAACCAACCTTATTAAAAAAAACATGGACAAGACTTTTATACAACAATAATGGGAGATTTTAATGTGATCAATAACCCATTGAAAAATAGAAAGTCATCTTTTAAAGCAAGCTTCAGATCATTATAGTGGCTTGAAATTCCATTATTCAACTTCTTTGATAAATGAAACTTTATAAATATGCAAGCAATATAAAAAGGCAAAGAAAAAACTTAAATAAGAAGAAATCTAACAAGTAGTAATAAAATAGACTATATTTGGATTTCTTATAGTCTAACAAGTTATTCACTACTCTGATTCAATAATTAAGATATGAAAAACATTATAGATAGTGACCACATCATGCTTCTAATAACACTATATAATAAAGACCTTATAACAAAAAGCAGAATCATAAATCTATTATAAATATATTAAGAAAAATTGATATAAAGATAATATCTCCATCATAATAGCAAGCCTTTCATAAAAGTATAGACCATAAATTTAAAACATTTGTTTTAAGAAAAATCCAATTAAGATGAAAAAGAAAATCAAGCAAATAAACTATGGAAAACCTTTAAGAAACTGTTATATAAAGCAGTCTTTAACAAACTGCCAATAAAAAAAAACAAACTAGTTAAAAGAAAAGTATTATAAATATAGTTTCAAATTTATCAGTTATAGAAAAGCTCTAGACTTAAAGAACTTTACAATAAAATAGAAATATTAAAAAAAATAGATAAGCTATAGGCCTTTAGCTTAGCTATAGAAAAATATAATAGTACTTATAGTTCAAATCATCAGATTGAGAACTATTGTATTCAATATAGTATTTCTAATATGCTATCGAAATCTTTGAAAAAATATATCTAAAATGCTATGGAAGGTTTCAAATTTATATGTCAAAGATTGAAAGTCAAAAAAACAAAAGATAATATTAAAACTATTCTGAAATAGATATGTGATAATCTGAGAAACAATTAGAGACAGATAATCAACTCTCTAACTAACCAAATAAAAAAGTAAAATAGTATTAGATAGGATTAAGATTAAGTAGGCTGATAATAAATATATCATAACATAAAAAGATGAAATAGAAAAGGAAATAAGATAATATCTCCATAAAATCTTTAGAAAAAGAAATGTTAGCTATAACAGTTTAACAAAAAAATGGAATGAAGATTACAAATCAAGAGAATATATTCAAACAGCTTGGTATAATGAACTACTTGAATCAATTTCACAAGTGAAACACTAAGGACACTTCTCAATAACAAAGTTCCAAAAAAATTTCAAATCAGTTATAAAATGTTAAAAAGGTTAAGTCAAGAAAAAAAAAAATTTCTTAAAAATAATGTTAAATAACTTCTTAAGATGGAAAGTTACTCTGAATATTGAAAATAAAGTTATATATATTCTATAGCTAAATCTTAACCTTGAAATTGTGAACTTACAAATATCAAACCTATTATTTTATTAGAGATCACAAGAAAGTGTTTTATCAAAATCCTTACAATAAAATAGAAATATTTGTAAAGCTAATAATATTCTCAAAGGATCAAACTATACAAGACTATTAGGAGAAAATATAGTAGAATCAATTTAGATTCTCAACAATATTTATAAAGATATCAAAGAAAACAAAAAGGAACTATAGATACTTTTTCAAGATACTGCAAAAGCATATAATACAATTAGTCTAGATATTTTGATAAAAGCAATGGAAAAAATCAAAGCTTCAAAAGATTTCAAAAAATCATAATGTATCTCTTTAAAAATAGAAAATTTCTAGTTATATTTGAAAATAACCTTATAGAATCAATAGTAATTAAAGATGAAATTGCAAAGGAAAATCATTTCACCTTTACTATAGAGAATTTTTTATGATCCTCTTTTTTGCAAAATCTAGAATGATATGTAAAGAAGATACAAAATATCAGTTATATAAAATTTTGATCTAAAAAAATAGATTACAAGAAGGTTAGAATTAAGGTATATAGCTATTACTAGTCAAAATTGTATTATTCAGCTACTGAATTATTACCAAATTTGACAAAAATTAATAATAAAAAGATTGATAAATTATTTATGATTGCTGCTACTTGAAATTAAAAATATTGGTAAAAAATTAGCAAAAAATATCAGCATACTATGAAAAAAAATTCAGCACAAAATCTGACAATATTGCAATAAAAAATTTTTTTTGCATATTGCAACCAAAAATTGTGTAAAAAAATTAATACTGCAACAAAAAATTTGGCAAAAAAATTAATACTGCAACAAAAAATTTGACAAAAAAATTGATACTGTGGCAAAAAATTTGACAAAAAAATTGATACTGTGGCAAAAAATTCAGCAAAAAAATTATCATGGCATAAAATTCAGCAAAAAAATTACTGTAAGAAAAAATTTGGCAAAAAAATTATTGTAGCAAAAAATTCAAATTTCATGAAATTTATTAAAAAATTATAAAATCAATTGACTAAATTATTTGTCATTTTTCTCTTCCTTCTCTTTCTCCTTTTCCACTTGCTTTTCTTTTCCCTTTAAAGATCTCGGCTTGACTCTTTTAAAACTAATCCCAATTGGTTTTACCTTACCAAATATTTTTTGAGATTTTTTGCTTTTTTCTTCTAATCTAACTGTCCTCGAATTTTGTCCATTTATATACTTTCTCTAGTTTGTTTCTCACATTTTGAATATATTAATGATTCCTTATATTAAGTAATTTTTTGTCTTTTGGATTTATCTACTAATTTTTTACCTTTTTATATCTCTTTTTCTTATTCACATTTTGAAATTTCTTCCAAACTGTATACCTAATTCAGCAAGTCTTCTAGTGAAGTTACATTATAGAAATATAAATCATCACAATATCATTTATGAG